CCACCCGACATAGTGCCCAGAGGTGAACAAGGACGCGGCGACGCCGGAACAACGGGGCTGCACCAGCAGTGGCGTTGACGGAATCGGACATGCGCCCTGGCCTAATTTCTATGGCTTTCTTTACTGCAGGACTGTAGAAATGAACCACTATTAGTCCCTCTTCTCCTTTTCTGCAGGAATTAACATGTCAGTGGTTCCTAATCAAACTTCCAAATATAGTGTTCCATTATATATTCAATAGGCCTTAATTCTGCCCCAGATACGAGGCTGAAAATCTGGGGATTCTGTTTGAAAATTTATGTATTAATTCCAAAATTTGTGATGCATTTCCTCTTTGTGTTCTCGTATTTTTATTACCTTTTTCTCACCTTCCCTTCATACACTATTCTGTCTTGTTTTGTTCTTTTTCAGGAGAAGGCCGTTTCCCAGGGGTAATTGATTTGTTTGGTGGTACTGGTGGACTGCTAGAATTCCGGGCCAGTCTTCTGGCCAGTCGTGGCTTTATATCCTTGGCCTTGGCTTATTTTCACTATGATGACCTGCCCCCCAAACTAGAAGAAACAGATTTGGAGTATTTTGAGGAAGCTGCAGACTTTCTCTTGAGACATCCTAAGGTAATTTTCCCCTTTCCAGTAGGTTTAAGTGCCTGTTTTTTAATAACCATAATATTCTGTGACTTCTCCTAACTTTTAAGTATGATTCTCCTTCAGTGAACTTGAAATTCTATTACATGCCCATATTATTCACATGACTTATCTATCACCCAGTGATTTTTGCTCAGAAAAACAAAATGCATAGGAAGTTAGCCCCTGTTCATCACGTTATCAAAAGGCATTGGCTTTGAATTCAGAAATGGATTGTATTTCTGGCTCCATTGCATCTGGTTGAGGGAATTTGGGCAAATTACTTAGTTAGACCNTTATTTTCACTATGATGACCTGCCCCCCAAACTAGAAGAAACAGATTTGGAGTATTTTGAGGAAGCTGCAGACTTTCTCTTGAGACATCCTAAGGTAATATTCCCCTTTCCAGTAGGTTTAAGTGCCTGTTTTTTAATAACCATAATATTCTGTGACTTCTCCTAACTTTTAAGTATGATTCTCCTTCAGTGAACTTGAAATTCTATTACATGCCCATATTATTCACATGACTTATCTATCACCCAGTGATTTTTGCTCAGAAAAACAAAATGCATAGGAAGTTAGCCCCTGTTCATCACGTTATCAAAAGGCATTGGCTTTGAATTCAGAAATGGATTGTATTTCTGGCTCCATTGCATCTGGTTGAGGGAATTTGGGCAAATTACTTAGTTAGACCGTCTCATCCTCAATTTCTTCATCTACTAAGTAATGTTATAGTAATACTATGTCATAAGGTTATTGTAAAAGTTAAAGGGGATAATACAGAAGTGCTTATGACAGTACCTGGCAATAATAAGCACTCAGTAAAGGTGAACAATTATTATTATTATCATTTTCTAATCACCATACTTCACCAGACATATAGTCTGTTTTTCTTTGAAGAGTGGGTCTGAAGCTTTAGTTACTTGAGAGGCCTTAAAATAATATGGCCATAACATAACTTTCCAATCCACGTATCTTCTTTGAATCTTAAATCATGTGCTTTGCTACTATAATAGGGTTGTTGCTTACTATTCCTTGTTAATTGCCTAATTTTTAAAAAATAAGAATTGAAGTAAAATTAAATCTCTGTACTACATCATTTTTCATACAGCGATCACCAAAATATAATCAGGATTGCAAATAGTAAGACGAGCCACAATTACTGACAATCTGCTCATGTATTGAAATTTTAAATGGCTGTTTTTGATGCATAAATGGAATTGTCCTTGAACGATCAGATAGGCAGTGTTATCATTGTGCTAGCCCTCTACTTGGCTTAGATGAGAAGTGGAAATGTTATATGATTCTGCTTTTTACTTTCTTAGTCCACTTCCCTTTATGCCTACTGTGTGACTTTTCTATCATCGTTCTTACCAATGTCACATAGACAGCTAGTTAATGACTAATCCAGACCTAGAAAGCAGATCTCTTTCCTGGGCTCTGAGTACTTCCATTAAACCTGATTCACACTGTCTCTTCTAGAGGATGATAGACCATAGATTTTTCAATTCCTTGTACGTCTTATTTCTCTGTTAATTTTAAGTGATTTCTAAGGACTAGAAATTCCCTGATCCCAAGTTTAGTGGCAGAAGTTGTAACAAGAGTTACTCTTCAGCCAAAGGCTGGAAACAAATTAGATAATGTCTGCACATATTTGAGTCACCTTTTTTGTTCATCCATGTTATGTTTGCTCTTACTTTATCTTCCATGGCCAAATCCATTCCGAGGTCCCATCTCTCCTTGCCACACCTGTCATTCTCTTTTATATTAAGACATTGAATTTCACAGAGGGGAGATGGTCAGAGAAAGAGGAAATGTTGGTCAAAGGGTGCAAAGTTTCAGTTAGACAGGAGGAATAAGTTCTAGTGATCTATTGCATAGTATGGTGGCTGTAGCTAATAATAATAATAATAATATTTCAAAATTGCTAAAAGAGTAGATTTTAAATGTTCTCACTACAGATAAATGATAAGTTTGTGAGGTGATGAATATGTTTATTAGCCTGATTTGCTCATTTCACAATGTATGCATCTATGGAAACATGACCTTGTACCCCATAAATACATATAGTTATTCTTCATCAATTAAAAATAAAAATGAATAAAAGAATTATAGAGCTTGAAAGGACCTTTTAACTGATTCAAGCCACCCCTCTTAGTATGCAGGGTAGGAAACAGAGAGAATATATGATTCATTCCATTTGTTTAAGTTTTTTTTTCCCCCCTTATCCTAAGAATTTCTCACATTTCTGTCAGCTGGGCACAAGTGGTACATTCGTTCATGTTTTTCTAAATAGTAAGAAAAACCCCCCAAACATTAGTTAATAAAATGCCTTGAAAATATAGGATCAATTAAGATGAATATAGGAGAAGAGTTGAGGCTTTAGACAAGAGATGTTTCTCTCTGACACTCTGTCCTTGCCAGGAGCCAGTGCTCAAGGAGAATCAAGGTTTTATTTTGTGCCACAGAGAACAATCATCTCTAACTCCTTCTTCTCTTTATACTCCCACACCAAATTGGTGATTGAGAGCTGTACAGTTTACACTCATAAATAACTTGTGAACATGTCGTTTTCTTTTCATCCCCACTGGTTCAGGATCTGACTTATGCATACTTATTCAGCCTTATCTTATACCCATCCTTAAAATCTGTCCTAATTCTCCTCTTTAATTAGGAAGAGAGTCAAGACTGCTTAGTGTGTCTTTTAAAGCTATTCACTATCAGGTTGTTGTTTTCTTTTCCAGCCTTATTTTACTATTTCCTGCCTTACACTCTAAATTCAAGTAATAAAGAACTACCTGAGTTTCCCTAAATGCGTTGATTGCTCTTTATTCCCTCTGAATTTTGCACGTGTTCCTCCCATGATGAGTTCGTTTGGAATATTTTGGCTATATTTCCCAGAAAAGTGGCTGATAGTGACCTAAACAACATCAGCATAAGGTGTTTTATTCTCTCATGTATAATAGGTCAGGAGAGAGGTGCTTCAAGCTTTGGTTCTGAAACTCAGTGGTGTTTCTGGTCAAAGAGACTAGACTGACTTTTCTACAATTTTGGGGCCTTACCCTCAAGGTCACAAGATGTATGTGGTAATTTTAGGCATGAAGTCAACATGCCAGCATCCTAAGCTGGAACGAATGGTCAGGGACATAGGCTTTCTCTTCACGATTCTATGACATTTTACATGTGCAAAGAAATCTTTAGGTAGATTATACTGGCCTTACAAGACAGGCTGAAAAAGTATGTAGCAAAGGAGGATAGGTTCAGATCCATCAGAATTTATCGCTTGGGGCTGGAGACATTGATATGCCCCACCAAATCAAGGTCATGTTAGCCTTCAAATTATGGAAAATGGCTCTTGCATAGTAAACAACTAACAGTGTCTGCTACACTCAGCATGGAATATCCTTCCTAATTCTTGGCTCCCATTTTTTATATGAGGACTCATTTGTATTTCCTCCAAGAGTCTTTCTTTGATTTTGCCTTTATTCCCTGCCAATCTGGGTTGGCAGCCTTGCCTATATGCATTCTTATATCATAGAATTATGACACTAGTCATCTGTTATTTTCTCCTATGTCTCCATCTGGCAGTTAGTTCCTTGATGACAAGATTGTGCTTTCTCCCTGTGTCCCCCAGTGCTTGACAAAGGGCAGATGCTCAACAAAGGGCAGATGCTCTAAAAATGTTTATTTGATGACTGACAATGAAAGAGGAAGCTGAGCCAAGCCTCTTTTATAAAACCTTTCTCCAAAGGAAGGAAGAAGAAACCAAAGCAAGTCTAGAATCCTCTTGCTTGGTTCAAGTTTCCATGCTCTATCCTACTAATTTCACCTTCTTTCTCAGTCCCTTCTTACAGGATGCTCTTTCCTCTGAACTTCTAGGGAGCTCAGAAATGTGGCAACAAAGTTTACCAATGAATCATATCCTGACTCATATTATTCACGATAGCCACTTTTTCTTATTTTCCCTACTACACTGGTGCTTCTTTAGGGCATTTTAAACTTAGAACCTAGCACAATGCTGACTGAATCCATGGTATTCAATCAGTAAAAGCTGACATATTTTTGAAGGAGTATTTCTTTTGAATACACATTATATATTCCAGAACTCTAGAGCTGGGCATGTGGGTGGGATTAATACTTTTGTCCCCATTGGTCATTGAAGTTCTTTGGTTGTTCAGGATTGTGGGGTTTTCCTAAATGAAGGATAGAATAACATCTCATTTCCATTATTTTCAGGTGCTTGGCCCAGGCGTTGGGGTAGTCTCTGTATGCAAAGGAGCAGAGATTGGACTTTCCATGGCTGTTCACCTAAAACAAGTCACAGCCACTGTACTGATTAATGGGCCCAATTTCATTCTTGGTGTTCCGCAGGTATATCGTGGTCAGATCTATGAGCCCATGCCCCACTCTATACAATTATTATCCTTCACCAGGTTGGGGTTAGTAGAGTTCGGTGGTATTTATGAGGAAACTCGAATTGTGAACAACCAGTATATTTTTCCCATTGAAAAGGCCCAGGGACATTTTCTCTTCATTGTGGGAGAAGAAGATAAAAATATCAACAGCAAAGTCTATGCTAAGGAAGCCACAGAACAGCTGAAGAGAAATGGGAAGAACAACTGGACTGTGCTGTCTTACCCGGGGGCAGGCCACCTGATAGAGCCTCCCTACTCCCCACTGTGCTGTGCCTCAGGGACCCCTGGTGTCTGCTCAGCCGTTCACTGGGGAGGAGAGGTGATCCCACATGCAGCTGCACAGGAACATGCTTGGATTGAGATCCAGAAATTTCTCAGGAAACACCTAGATGTGACCAGTCAACTCTGAGAAGACTAAATATTCGTGAGAAGGAAGTTATAGCAAGAGAAGGGCAGGAGGACTGACAATGATAATGTCTTGTCTGTTGAAAAGGAAAAATGGTTTCCACTTAATCCAATATTATACATACACTGGAGTCCTATTTTTATGGAAATAAACTCAGAGCTCTACCTGCCTTAAAATATTTCAGTTTATAATCATAGCAATTCTCAAGGGGAAATAATTATCAACAGTAAACCACAGAATCCCCTGGCTTGTAAAACAGACATGAATCAAATCAGATGCTGACATTTGTTGATTTTCTAACATTCAAATTAAATATGCTTAGATCTCTTATATTTGAAAATAGCTCATGGTTTCTTCATTGTTATTGGAAAACTAGAGCTGGGTAAAAAATATATTATTTTAGTCAATATGGAAGATGATATAGATGTAAGATCATTGAGTCTTAAGTCTGCAACCAATAATTCAACCAAAGCTAATAAAATTAAATAAAATTATTTTTGTATCTAAACATGTACAGAATTTTGCATTCTCAGCTATGGGAGAAAAGCAATCTGAGATTCACAGAATTGCAACCCGAGGAAGTAGCCATGTTGATGGAGATCATGTGCCTCTAAATTAAGGGTTGGCAAACTTTTTGTGTAGAGCTAAATAGTAAATATTTTCAGCTTTGTGGGCCATAAGGTCTCGTCAGTGCTACTAACCAGCCAACTCCCTATCTGCTTTCTGATACTCCCTCTGTGTAGAGTAAAATCATTCCATTTGGTTGAAGAGGAACTAATAGCCTCTCTCCTTTCTCACTCAGAAGTCGTCACATTTCACAGGCCTGGTCAATCAGAACACTTCACTCCTTTGACTATAATAATCATGCAATTGCAATGTCTAATGCCTCCAGTATGATGTTATATAATAGTTGTCATAATAAATATAACTTTCTTGTTTTCTGTTTGGGGATTTAGGAAAAATGTCTCTGTCTGTGAGGTCTGATGATATTATTTTGGCTTGATATATATCCATTGATTTATGTTTTATGGAATTCTTTTAAACCAAGAATGTTTTAGAATTTTTTTCAAGTCCTTTTTCAGCATCACTAAAAATGATTCTATGGGTTTTCTTTGAATATCTATTAATAGGATAAATTATTTCCTAGTATTAAATCATTTTTGCATTTGTGGAATAATACTCACTTGGTCATAACATTCTTAATTAACATTAATAAATGAGATTGAGCTGTTTTTTCTTTCTGTGTAATTTTTTTGGCCAGGTACATCAATGTTGTTCTTGTTTCATAAAAAGAATTAAAAATTTTTCCTTCTTTCCTACAATAGTTTAATTAAAAATTACCTCCTCTTTAAAAGTTTAATAGCACCATCCTGGTTATTCTATTACTTCTGGTAATTTTTTAAAAGACACCCTGGATATATATTGGGGTCTACTATAATATATCTTGTTTACATTATAATGGATATTCTCAATCCAAATCATTTTTTTTTTTTTTTTAGCATTTTATATACCAGGAAAATCAGAAATATATAAAATTAAACTACATGATAAAATTTTTAAAAATACTCTCCAATTTTGGCACATCAATATTGTCAAAGTTACAATAGAAATAAAATATATATTAATTTTATTTGATTTTTGAAATTATATGAACAAAACTTTGGAGAAGTTTCTGACATACTTTTTGATTGTGGTAAAACAGACAAAACAAAATAGACACAACATTTTTAGTTGTATATATGATACACAGTGGCATTAAGTACATTCACATTGATGTGCTACCATCACCACCATCCGTCTCCAGAACTTTTTCATGTTCCCAAACTGAGACCCCATACTGTTGAATAATAACTCATCATTTCCCCCTTCCCCTAGTCTCTGACAATCCCACCTTTCTATTTTCT